TAGCACTAACAAAGTATGGTTATGGTTATTTTTACTTGTTACCTTCCGTTCCGGAAGTTAAAAGATCCAGATATTCGTTCTTTGAATTACCTGTAAAATTTTTGAAAACTAGGAAACAGTAATAACTCTAAATACTCAGTAGACTTAAATCATCCTGGCAGGATCCTGAGTGGAACATGAAAGAGAAAAAGGTGAAGGGAGGAAGCAAGAAAGTGAAAGGAAGTAGGTAGAATGGTGAGTAACAGCCTAGTGAGGAGGGGTAAGATGGATAGCAACAATGATTGCCACAGGTGTCTTCCAACCTGGGCTGGAGGAATCTTCTACTTATCTTGAGTAATCTTAAGGTTGTAGAAATACTCTGGAAGTGTTCCTGCATATGAAAACCTAGCCAGACAATAAAAATCAACTAGCCTTTTAAAATTAAGGTTGTGTATCTGGGAAAAGAATGCTAAAGAAATTTGAGTACTGAAAAGGCTTTCCGTATGAAAATGGTTCTGTGTATAAAGGGAAAAAAGTTCACGCTAGATGAGTCCTCAGTCTTTTAGATTCAAAATTAAGATAGCCGCCACTACTATAAAAGGGAAACAATAGTCTCTGGTAGCTTGAAATTCATACCTAGTCACAAACATGCAATGCATAATGACCAAAACCAACTCACTGTCTCTGAAGAGACCTGTAACAAGACTCCTGGAAATGGAACAACCTTGAGATCTCCATTCTCCTTCAGGATAAAAAAGGATAGGATTTCTGCCCGCAGGCAAGGGACACCAAAAATGGAGAATTTAGCCCAGGTCAGCAACCTGCAACAGCAGCTTTTTAATCCTTCATTTTCCATGTCCTGGGTGCCTCTTAGGCTTCTAAACTTGCTCATCCCTCATACAGAGTTCAAACATTTTTCTTCTTTCTCCTGATGGATTTTATTTGCCTTCTTTCTAGCTAGATTGCACTGCATATTGTCAAGGCCTCTTTAGTGTTCTAAAACATTTCTTTCCTCTGGTAGAACTGGTAAAGGTTTTAGGAATAGGACAGACTTAAACCAATATATAATAACCATGCTTCACTTCTTGGTTTAGTACTGTATTAGGAAATCTCAAAGGGAGCTGGATACAATGACCCCATGCTGACCCTCTTCTGTAACATTGCAGAAACCAGATTGGGTGGAATGGTGATGAGGCTGGTTTCAAGAGTATCCTTTGGGTCTAAACAGCTTCTTACCAACTTCTTTTGATGGGTGTTGAGCTCAAACCCACTTACCTCTCCTGCCAGGAGGAGTCAGTCAGGGTACATCAAGCTCAACTCTTGATGGCTTCATACTACCATCTGTTTTATACTTTTTTCTTTTAAAATTCATGTTCTTAATAGATTTCCCTAACTCAATTTTTAATTCTCTAGTTTCTACTCTAGCATTTTCAAGTACCTCTCCAAACCTGAGAAATTTTCTTTGTTTTGGTAGTTTGAGTCTATGGCATTTCTGAAAGAGAACCCATAAGATAAAGGAAAAAATGTCCTTCATATATTAGATATGCTCAGAAATTAGAAGTAAATGCAATGGAGCAAAGTGGTATATTAACAGGAAATATTTAATTTTCCAATCTCCACTTTCCATCTTTATAAACTGAAAGAAAAAAATTTAATATATTACAAAATATCTGTACATAGACAAGGTACACCCAATGGGGGTCAAAAACAAGAGAGAGAAAGGAATACAGTGTCAGGAACCTATAAATCAGGGAGAATGAGGTGGCAACTGACACTTTTCCAATGCACCATTCTCTCTCAAAACCTGCTGGTAACCACTTTAGCACTGTACCTATATATGCATATTACACACACACACACACACACACACACACACACACACACACACACACACACAATGTTGGGTGATGATTATGGCATAAACTAACAAAAGTCCTACACACAAATTTGTGCTAACTCTCCTGTTTTAAATATACAGATCTGATGTTATTTGTGAATCCTTATCACCATAGACTGATGAAAAAAAAAACTAAGAAAAATGTGTTAAGCAGATCTGCTTTTAAAACCACATACAAAAAATGATCATTGTCAAGCCAGTTTTGCCTCTTATTCATGAACAAAATAAATTTTCATTTGTTCAAAATAATGTATTTAGTAATGCTACAATAGTTAAAACCCAAACCACTTTTGAATTGAATGAACTAGTTTCTATTTTCCAAACAGGGTGAAAATTAAGCCAAATTTTTACTTCCATTATATTTATAGATAATATAGCTGAAAAATGACCAAAAAACCTTTTCTTCCTCTGCACAGATTTCAAGATATTTAAATGAGTTTTTTTCTCTGCTTTCAGAAGTAATCAAATTATAAAAATACTTTTAAAGGCTAGACTCCCAAAATGGGGTGGGTGAAATGGGCTCAGACACAGACACATGTTCACAGACGCTCTCCCCCTTCCCCAACAGGGACGGGGGAATGGAAGCTTACGGAAATTATTTAGACTATTTGGCATAATTAAAAATATAGTATGACAGAGGGGAAGGGAAAACATTATTGATGACTGTTGATAACCAAAATACAATGAAAATATATAGAGAAATTTATTCATATTTGATGGGAAAACAATTCCTTTTCACTGAACAGATACTTAAAAAAGTATCCCAGCTCAGTTTCTTTAATCAAAAATAGGGGACCAGGGCCCAATACATTACATTAAAATATTCTAAAATAAGGCCCATGTCTGAGGACTAAGTAGTCAGCAGACTGAAGGTACAGATAAAACTTTAATGCAATCTATGGATAGCATGTCAGTGTGCCTAGGATATCTATCCAGACATCCTGGCATAAAAAGCTATCAAAGCCAAATGGCTGGAAGGTTCACTTACTACTAGTGTTTGGCCTATGGCAAAGCCAGACCAAAACCCAGAAAATAAATATAGACACTGGTATCTATTTCAGTACCACAGGAAAATAATTTTTATGTAGCTGAAGAGGGTTTGTTAACCTCTTTAAATTTTTTAAAAATTAATACACCTTTCTATATATTTTTAACATAAGAACTTGGTATTGAAACATGAAATTTCACTTGAGTGAAAACTATTCTCCAAGATAAAGTACGTTTGCCTTTCTTTGTAAAAGGGAGCTTAACCTACATTTTACAAATGCCTAAGTCTGTGCAGATCAGTTATATGACATGTATGTTTTTAAAATACTCAAAATGCTGATACTCAGAAACGGCAGCCATAACGAGAAGCCTCTAGTGTTACTCGACTCTGAAATCCTTCTTCTCTTCCACTTCTTGTTTTGATAAGGCAAAGTTCTTGTCAGGAAGTCACCCTTTACCACAATCAAAATGATCCCTACAAGATGCTGCGATGTATCAATACTGTTCTTTCTCATGGTACACAGCTTAAAATTTTTTCTTTAAAGTTATCAGGGATTGATACACCTTCAGATATATACCCTATACTAGGTTAAGTGTCCATGTATTTTCAGGTTTTTCCTCTGACAGTATCACAAGGCTTTGTTTGAAAGTTTTTAACATGAAAATATACATGTAAACAACATGCTTACTGATCTTATTACCCCTCTAGGTATAGAGGTATCATCTCTAACCACAGCTCAGCAGCAATGTCCTATGCTGTCCATTTACAAATCAACTTCCCCATTAGACCGTGGCTTAAAAACAAAAATGAAATAAAACAAATTTTAGAATTGAAGAGTTACAAAGAACAATGTAGGAGTTTGAATTTCCTTTCCTTTATTTAAAAAAAGAAAAAAAGGAAAAAAAAAGTATTCCAGGTTCTTGGGCATCTTTACTATTTCTTTTCGCCAAACAAATGCCTCAAAATGACACAAGGAGAGAAGAATAGGGGTGGGCACACAGAGGAGGAAGAAGGAAAAAGAAAAGCGGACAGAAGGGAGAGAAGGAAAGGAGGAGGAAAAGTAAACAAGCAGAAAGCAAAGATTGGGTAAAGTCTACCTACTTGCCCAAGAAAATACCACTCTCTACAGCCTGCTGTATGTGCAGGGACAGGGACATAAATTTTGCCAAAACTGAGCAAACTTAAGGATGATTTATTTGGAAAAAGGTATGTACAAGATGCTTAACAGGGATAAAGGGGGTGCTCACTGAAGCAAAAAATGTGAGATGGTAGAGAAGGAAACATTTAAGCCAGCCAGTCCACTGTTTCCATTCTAGCAAAGGCCTAAGAGGAGCTCAGATCTTGTGAACACTATTTTTTTTAAAGGGGAGAGGGTGTTGAAGGGGAACTAAATAAAAATTCCAAAGAAACCACACACACATACACATACACACGCACACACAGAGGCACAAACAGAGAAGGAAAAAAAAAAAAAACACTTTAAAAACCAAAGCCTCTCCAGAGTCATCCCAAAACAAAACTCTCTTCTGCCCAAGTGCAGGCAATAAGCTCATTGCAACAATTACTTTTCGACTGAATGTCTCTTTTTCTCCATATTTTCTACTATAGCTCCTACATAGAGCAGAGTAAATATTCTGGCTATTGCCCATCCAGGAGGAACTGGTGCCAACATCATTGACTCGCCTGCTAGTAGCAAGTGAGCAAGGAAAACAACAGACAGCGTTGCAGTAGCCAAATGCAGACGATTACCTTGCTCTGGCAAGTGATTTCATTAAAGGTTCAGAGGTCTAGATGGAAAGACGGATAGGGAAGGAATCTTTCAGGGCACTGATGTCTCTGTGTTAATAAGGAACTCCTCTCCCTCTTCCCCCTCGTGGTGGGACTCTTGCAGCCCCCCGGTAGAGTTTTCCATAAGCAGAAGACTGAGCTGGGGCCCCCCACTGAAGAGCTGTTCCTGAGCTGTTGGCCCCAGTGGCTCCTGGTCCCAGCTCCCCATAGTTTTGCAATTTGGTTTCTGCATGTACCACAGAGTTGCTATTTCCCTCAGACTTCAGGAACGGTTGTCCAACTACTGAGTGTAATGCTAAGGGGACCCTGGTAAAACGGAGGTCCTGGTCCCCTGGGAACTGAACTGACCCTGTGCCCTGGTAACTGTTGGATTCCCCAAGGTGGCTCACAGAGCCTGAGAAGGTCCTGTTCTTCACCAGGGTCTGGACCAAAGATTCTGTCAAGGCTGGACCAGAACTGCGTTCATCAGTGTCAGTGGCACTGAACCCTGTTTCAGGCCCATCAGTGTTTCCGTAAGTCCTGTTTGGATGGGATCGGGTGGAGTACTCCATTGGTCTCAAGGCCTGGTGCTCATGTGGCAGGTGGCCAGGAGGCTCTGCTTCAGGCTGGGATAAAAGTTGCAGCAAGGCGGCTGTCACGGCGGGATTCAACTCCTGGGGGGCGCTGGAAAGATCGCCTTCAACCAGAGGGGGTGGAGGTGGCGGCGGTGGAGGTCCAGGGGGTTCAGGGGGCCTCTTCTCTGGTGGAAGAATGTGAGGAGGACATGCTGTGGAAGGGTTACTTCTTTTAAACACCATCTTAAAAATCACATGTGATTATAAACACAAACAAATACTGCTCAACATAAATAAATACCAATACAAGTAACCAGATATATTAAAGAAAAAAAAAAAAAACCCTTGGGATCAGGAAACTGAAATTTATAAATAAAATAATCAAGTGATTAGAAGTAAAACCATTGCATTCTGGATCTGACAGCTGGTATAAAAAGATGTTATATTTCAAATGACTGTCCTGAATATTTTTGTCTGAGATTTCCTTCCTTAAAGAACTGTTCTAATATGCAGGCTGTTGGCAACCTCTCCATCCCTTCTGCTGTTAGATGAAAACATTATTGAAAATAAAGCAGAGAGAAGGAAGATGAGAAGGAACAATATACAAGCTGTGGTCACATTTCTAGAACATAATCTCTCTGAACAAAGTGCAAATCTGACTAACAAATTTTTACAATATTTGATGATTAAGATTAATGTGAAATACAACTTAAAAAATATACAGGGGAGATGCAATCAAGAAAAAAAAACTTAACATGTATAAAAAGATTCTTTGCTTTTCTAAATTTTAGTCATTTTTCTCTATAATCATATCCTCAAGAAAGATATTAACCAACCACATAGTTAGGCAGGTTCCTGAATAATTGCAAAGACCAAAGTAATCCTATTATAATTTTCAATTTTGTTTTCTTACCTTCTGCATGTATTTTAATGCTATGAAAAAAGATAAATCACTCTAGCAGTGTTACGCAGAACTGCACTGCTGATAAAAATGTGTTCATCCGTGTTAAGAATTTACTATTCAGAAATATAATAAACTAATACTAGATTCAACTATCACTAAGATCACTTTCTTAAACCATGTCCTCAGGCTTTTGCTTTTTTCAATTGCTGTCTAATTTTGTCTAAAAAATGCACCTTTACCAAGGCAAGAAATGAAATAGATAAAATGACATGAGGTCATATAAAATTAGTAAAACAAAAACAGTAAGATTAATGCCCTCAAGGATTCAGATTCAACCTGATAAAAGGTAAAATGTTCTGTTCTTATCTTCCAAACAAAACAGCTTTTCTTTTTCCCTACGGGAACATTTTAAAACATCTATATGGTCATTCTTCTATTTTGTTAGTCAGTGAAGTAATGTCATTACTTAGTCAAGCCAAAACCAGTTTTTGGTTACCATTTGGTATTTCTGTAGTATAATTATCTTGAGTAACTTTGTAAAGATAAGTAAATACAGTAAGTAATTAAGTTTGCACTGCTTAAGTATGCAGATGAAAGCACTCTAAAAACAATATACAAGCCAGGCCTGTCGCACACCCCTGTGGTCCCAGCAATTGGCAGGCAGAGGCAGGTAGATCTGTATGAGTTCAAGGCCAGCCTGGTGTAAGGAGTAACCCTGGTGTAAGGGAAACCCTGTCTCAAAAAAAAAAAACAAAAAATCACCACCATCACCACCACCAAAAAATAAAAATAAAAAAAAAAAAATTAACATTGTGCAGTGAAAAAAGAGGCTGGCGATTATATGACACAACAAACGGGGTAAACAGCCTAAGAGTTTCTGGGATTGGGGCACAAGCCAGGCAGGCAAGAGGATATCAATTTTCAGTTCTAAAATGGAATAGTCCACTTTATAATATGTAACTCCAAGTTACTTGTTGATTAGCTGGTCAGCTGAGTAGCAGGAAAAATTGAATTTAAGGCAGAAGAAAATCAGCTACTGAAAATTTACCATATGGAGAATAAATAACCTGAAAGGATAGGATAATTGAAGTATAACCATATATTACATATTTCATAGCCTTTTACTGTCAATAACACTTATCTCTTTTTAAGAAGATATTTAAGTATCAGCGACATTAAAAAAACATCAACTTTTTAATATTGAAGAAAACAAAACAAAGCAAAAAAGCAAACAAACTTTAAAAGGCATGGCAGTGAACGTGGCAGTTTAGATTCTTCCATTTATATTACTTTTTCATTAAAGAACTACTAAAGTTAATAGCACTTCTTAAAAGAGTTAAAACTAAAAATATAAATTATAAATCATAGTGTCTTCACATTTAAAGTGTTGATGTTGTCACTCTGTAATAGTTTAATACTACTAATGAACAGAGGTAAATAAATTTAAAAATAGCTTACATTTTTCATTTATTAGATTTCAACCATTACCCTTTCTTATCAGTACAGAAAAACTAAATTTGCCAAACTAAGAGCATCACCTTTCTGGTTTATAGTCTGCCCTCTGCTGGAAGTGCTAAATGAACAGTGAAATGGCCAAGGAAGAAGCCCCCAGGTATGGTGGCACAAGGCAGGAGGATCAAAGTTTTGAGGTCAGTTTGTGCTATAAAAACTGCAGAGACACGAGATAATCCAGGGATGACTATAATTAGTTGAGAATTTTGGTGGTGGTGGTGGTGTTTGTATTTATTTTTTACCTTTTTTTTGGACCTGGTTGGTCTCCTGAATTTTGGGATCAAAAAATGTATGACATCATGCCCAACATTTGTATTCATATTTAGTAATGGCATTTTTACATTCTTCTCAAAAAGCATATCCAATTTTTAGCTATATGTTATGACTTATTCTCACCTCAACTTTATTATGTGCTCTCTAGATTATTGGATCAACTGTTTGGTGACTATTTTTCAATCAGGATGTTATTTAATTTGACCAAGATCTTTCAGGTATTTTTTGAGTTGAAAATTGTTATTTATTTTTTGAGGGATAACTAGGTAGGATCAGAATCTGAGACAAGAGATAAAAAATTTGCTTTAATTCTACATAGTCTTTCCTTTATTTAAATTTATATCTTTATTTTTATTGTATGAATGTTTTGCCTTGGGGTATGTCTGTGTGCCACTAGTGTACCTGGTTCATGGTGGTCAGAAGAGGGCATCAGATCCTCTGAAAGAGGAATTACAGGCAGTTATGAGCCACTGTATGGGTACTAAGAATTGAACCCAAGTTCTCTCCAAAAGTAGCCAGCGCTGTTAACCTCTGAGCCATCTCTCAAGCCATGGTATACAGCCTTTTGTATTACTATGCCTATTAAAATCATTACAATCAACATAGAGAATAGCAAAGTGAATCAAGACATGAGTGTACAAGTTCTAGCTTTGTCTGCTAATAATCAACAGCACAGACTTACTTAAGTTTCTTAGATTGCAGTTTTCCTATTCACCAAACAAAAGGTTAATTTTATTGTCTTTCAGTTTTAATAATTTTTAATAACACGAAAAAAAAAAAAACAGGGTATGTATTTGACCTTGTGCTAGTGAAAATAAAGAATGTATTTTCTGTACCAACCGAGATCAAATGTAAATGCAAGACCCTAAAGTTCAAAGCTAGTATACCTCTTCAGCCTCTGTGCCTCTTCTTATTCCCCAATTCATGAGATCTTCAGGCCAATGATAATTTCCAAGGAGTTGAAAACACTTTCACATAGTAAGATTTTGCAAACAGATTGTGAATCAGAATTGATGAGAATTTACAATGCATTTCCCTCTAATAAATTGTATGGTGTGGTCATGTAACACAAAGTATAACACACATTTTCTTCCCTTCAGTTTTTTTCTTTTCTTTTCATAATGCTTATTTCCTGATTCCACTGTCAACTTTCAGAAACACAGACTTAAACACTTTTAGGTACTATTACTTTTTGGAAAGAAAATGTAAGGTGTTTATCTTCTCAGAATAATTCCCCTATTATTTTCAGGAACTGATATAGTTTATTAGGGCTTTCTTGACTGTATCTTCCAGATAAGATTCTGGTTTCCAGGATCTACTCCACTAGAGGTAAAGAACAATGTGATGTTTATTTAAAAGTCAGATTTTCTAATACTAACTAGCTACCACATACATAGTGGTTCAAAATACTTCACTACCTATAACTTTGGCTTCCTTGGTTAGAACATAGGGTGTTTACTTACCAGTACCTTATTAATTGAAAAAATTATCAGCATATGAAAGGTGCTTTGTAAATGAAAAAGCTGGATAAGATATACATCATTTGGTGCTATGTTCTCCTGTAACTAGATTACAGAAAACTGAAACTGAGACCAATGATGTAAAAAAGAAAACATTAAGAGATTTTTTTAAGGGGGTCAACAGCACCTGAGCTCAATGAGATTCATGACCGGTCTGTTTACCTGCTGCCTCCTCCTGTGGTATTGTAGGAGTTCTTCGGGGTCCCAGTGACCCACTATTCTTGTCACTGGTGTTTTCCTCCAGGTTACCTGCTGGCTCTTGGGTTTTCATCAGCTGACTCAAGAGAACTGCCAACATATTCTGCATGTCAGCTGGTGTGTTTGAAGCTTCAGGAGTTGTCTGTTCTGCTGAAGGCAGGACCACAGATACAGAGGGTACCTCCTTCAATGATTCCTCTGGGGCTACGGTTTCTGAGTCCTGATGCTGGGAATTGGCTTCAGTGAGTGCACTAATAGATTGATTCAAGGCTTCCAACTGCTGTTGCATCTCTGGATTGGAGTGGATATTAAGCAGCTGGGCCATTTGAGGGATGCTCAGGTCAGTTTGGCTCTGTAGCAGGTTTAATAACACTGCCAATTCACTTTGATTCAGCTGCTGTGTGATGTCACCAAGGCCTGTGGGATGAGAGTAGAGCCAATATTAGATGACAAGGAAGGGAAAGGACCTTTGCCTTTTTCAACTGACAAAAAAGCAATTTATAGTATTCAAAGGCATAGTTTCATTTTGAATGCCTCATGATTTAACATCTCATATTATTATATCACAGTTAATTATTTATTTCTGTATAAAACAGCAAAGACTTGGACTGGTGAGATGGCACAGTAGCTAAAAGGCACTTGCCACCAAGAATGACAACTGTATAAAGCCCAGGACTCATGTACTGGAGAGAACCAACTCCCACAGGTTCTCCTCTGATCTCTACACAGATTATGTGGTACCTCCAATAAAACAGAAATTAAAACAACAAATAAAATACAAGGACTAACTAAAGCATCTTGACACTATATAGAGAAGGGACTATATTTTCGGTTAGAGAGATGGGTCAGTAGTTAAGAGCACTCACTGCTCTTCCAAAGGTCCTGAGTTCAATTCCCAGCACACACATGGCAACTCACAACAATGTGATGTGCACACACTATCTTCTGGTGTGTAGATGTACAATGTACATGTAGACAAAGCACCCACATACATAAAACAAACACACAAACAAACAGTGACTACATTTTATCTGTATTCTTCTAGGGCAGTGATTTTCAACCATTATTAATGTAAAAAGTATTAGGATGGATTTAAGAATTCAGGTGCCTACTATGCCAAGAGAGTTGGCATTTATTCAAGGGTTTTTTATCTCCTGTATCCCAAACTGCCCTCAAAACTGGTGTGTAGTGGAAAATAACCTTGAACTTCTGATCCTCCTGACTCCACCTCCCCAGTGCTGTGTTGCAATTATTTGCCACCACACTGATCTGAGGGTATTTAAGTTTTCTGGATGATTCTAATGTGTACCAAATGTTGAAAATAATATCGTAGTCTCAGCTACATTGAAGGCTGAGGAAAGATCCTAAGTTCAAGGCTACTGAGTCAACAGAGAAGTGAAAATGAAAAAGATCTGTAGTTTAAAAAAACGTGATGAGAAAGTCTTTGTTGTAATGGTTATTTTGACAGTTTTATTGTATATTATTATATAAGTCAAGTAACAGTCTACAGAACCAACTACATTTAGCAACTGTGACTTGATATGACTAGATTCTAAAGCCTTATCAAATCTAACATAACAACTTTAAATTATTGCTAAAAAGCCATGATTTAGAGGCTGGAGTGCTGGATCAGTGATTAAGGGGTTGCTTATCCACAGTACTTGGGCTCCATTCCTAGCAGCCATATCACAGTTAACAACTGTCTGTCCCAGGAGATTTGGTATCATCTTTTGGCCTCTGCAGCCAATGAACACAAAAGGTGCACAGATGTACATGCTGACAAAACACCAATACACATAAATAAAATTAATTAATAAAATTTTTTAATTAATAAAAAAGTCCATGAGTAAACTAACCATAATCTTATTTAACTGGCTAGTTTCTTCCACAAAAATCTAAATGATATATAGTATTCCTCATTTCAAAGAATAAAAATAACCTATTGTAAACTTTCTAAACCAGGTGTAGAAAATAAGGTTTATTTCTCCTCAGAAATGACAACATCAATGTCTTATTAATGCTCCACTGGACAAAAAGTACAGGGATATGAACATAAATCCCTTCTTCCCTCAAAATCTACTAAGTGCACTTAATAAAAGCAGAAGGCTACATTCCAGTGCTGACCTACTGCATCCACAGGACCAGGCTCTGCCTTGACAGGAGCAGGCTGAGGTGGTGCTGGGCTGCTGTTCTTCACAGGCTCAGCTGTTGTTCCTGAGGTAGTTTCTTTTCGAGAAGCTTTGGATGGAGGTGGCTCTTCTATCACAATTCCACTCTGTCGCTGCCGTCGACGTTTCTTACTCCACAATTCATGGCAATCCTGCCAGTGAGGTAGGCTGAAAAAAACACAAAACAAAGGAAGAGTAAGTAGTGAGTAAATGGAAATACAATTACAGTAAAAAATTAAGGGAAATAAAGAAACATAAGCATTAGAATGCAGTATAAAAAGAGTCACAGCAGGTAGTAGTTTGTGGAAATAAAGGTCAAAAAGATTAATGCAAACAGGGATAAAGAAACAGGGATCTTACTAATACACGAACCAACTCCTACATAGTCATATATTGTTTTTGTTCATGTCAAGTGAATAAAGAGAACTTTACTGGTCAAGTTTCAGCTAAGGATAAAGAAAAGCACAGAGATGAATAGCTTATTAATAGTTATAAAAGCCTAGGAAAGAGGCTGGCACTTGGCACCAAGCATGACAACCTGAGCTCAATTTTGGAGCCCATATGGAAAAAAAGAGAACCAACTCCCACAACTTTCCCTGACCTGTACTTTGGCAAGAGCATGAAAACACACACGCACGCACGCACACACGCACGCACAAGAGAGATAGATGGTGCTTTAAATCCTGAAACATATCATAATTAGGCCAGGTGGTGGTGGCACATGCCCTTAAATCCGAGGCCAGGGATTTAAGGAATTTGAAGCCAGCCTGATCTACAGGGCTAGTTCTAGGACAGCCAGGGCTACACACACAAAAAAAAACCAAAAACAAAAAAACAAAAACAACAACAACAACAAAAAAACCCCTTGTCTTAAAAAACCAAAAGGAAAAACAAAAATCATGACTAAATCACCTTGTACTAAATTCTCCACTGAATTTGTATGATTTGATATCAACTTTTTCATTCATGGAGTTAAGCTGGTTGTGTTTTCAATTCTAGGGGACACAGGAAGGTGGAATCCCTGTTACAAGCCAGCTGGGTCTACTTAGTGAGTTCCAGGTCACACAGGGAAACACTGTGTCTCAAAAAAACACACAAACAAAACTAATAGTTCCTAAATTTCAGTAAAAAGTTTATATATAAAAATTCTAATATAATAATCAATCCGGATAGATCTTCAGAGCAATAAAATTTACAGTTACCATATATTTATATACTTATTTATGCCCCCTCTTTTGTTTTTATTTGGGAGAAAGACATATCATCCTGTGCTAACATGGAACGCTTGATTCAGCTACCATAGCCATCCAAGTGCTGGGACTGTAGGTGTTTACCACACTGCCAGTACTTCTCTGGTAAGAAAATGCATCTAAAGAGGATCCCAAGCTCAAGGCCAACTTAGGCAAGTCAGATGGGTCCCCTAAAAAACCAAACCAAACCAAATAAAACCCAAAAACAAACAAACAAAAAATACCCTAAAGGGCTGGAAAGACTGTTCAGTGGTTAAGAGCTTGTGCTGTTCTTGCGGCTCCCAGCAGCCATGTCTAGTGGCTGACAGCTCCAGTAAATCTGAAACCATCTCTCAATCTCACAGGCAACCACTCACATAAAGACATAAAAAAAATAATAAGATACAACTCATGGTAAAGCATTTGACTAACATGTATGAGGCCCATAGTACTGACATAAAAAACAAACAAATAAAAGAAATCTAGCATAAAAGCATTAATACTGCCACTTTAAAATAAAAGATCTTTTATGTGCCATAAAGATGAATTTGGGTATAGACTCTCTAAAGATCCTCTCTACTGTACAGGGTATTTGTCAAACTGTGATGAAAGAGGGTTATAGAGGTGGCTAAGGTAGCAAAGGCCCTTTTAGCTAGCAGAATCCTTACCACCTGAATTCTGTTATTAGATGCATAAAGGGAGAATAGGAGCACAGATTCAAAGTTTATCCTCTGACCTCTACACAAGTGTTGTATGTGTGTATGCACACACAGGTATATAAGTAAAAAATGAAAAAATAAAAACTATGAAAGAGATCCACACCAAGATTTACATAAAAATTCATGGAGACAAAGGGAAGCAGATCTCTGTGAGTTCAAGGCCAGCCTGATCTACATAGAGTTACAGTAACCACCTGGTTTAAAAAACACAAACAACAAAACAAACTTTACAGACCTGAAAATGATGCAAACTATTTAAAATTAGAACTGTTCTTGCAGTGTGAGAAATATATAGTAACAACATAAATGATTATACTAGAAGGAATGGATAAGAGCAAAAAGTACAAGGAATATTTTCAAAGACATTGCTTAGCACAATATATATTAGAAATCCAGAAACTTAAAAAAACAAACAAACAAAAAAAACTTCAATCAAGTATAGTTAAATCTATTTATTATTTGATATATCGACAGTAACACGCCATTGGAACTGACATAATCATTTGCAGTTATTTTGATAAACGTTTTTTTTTTAAGTTTCTCATTTTCTGCTTCTAGCAGGAAGTTTGTGGAGTCATTATACAGCCACAAATACTTACTCTGGAGGTGCCATTTTGCTGAGTTCCACATCTTTAAGGAAGTCACTTTGCAGGGTCTGTTCAGCGGTGCAACGCTTGCTAGGATCGAGTGTCAGCATGTGGTCCAATAAATCAAGAGCTGCTGAAGGAATGCTATAGAAAGGAGCAGAGATATCAAAACTCACAAAAACCCTATGTTCTCAAACCAGGAAGCCTGTATCAAAAGTTATTTGAGTTTCCATCTCCATGTAAAACTGAGCAAAGAAAATTGGAAATTGGCTAATGCAAGCAACAGATCTCAAACATGATTTAAGAAATACTTGGGGCTGGAGAGATGGCTCAGTGGTTAAGAGCATTGTCTCCTCTTCTAAAAGAAATGCTACAATGAAAACTAATGAAACCAAGAATTCTATTCTCTTTCCTTAGGAAGGTCAAAGAAGTACAAGGAAATCCACAAATTGTTCAAAATAAAATGGTTTTTATTTGTCCAAGGTCTTCATAAGAAAAAAATTAGAAATAAGGACTAATAAAATAAGCTCTTCAAAATTACAATTTCTAAGGATGGCTCACAGGGTAAGAGCACTGGCTGTTCTTGCAGATGACCCTGGTTCAATTCCCAGTTCCAGGGAGCTATCATCCTCATTTGGCCTCTGCAGGAACCAGACACATATATGCATGCAGGCAAAACATTCATATTAAGAGACCCACATGGTAAAAGGAGATTGAACTCCTGAAAATCGTCTTCTGACCTCCATATCCACATCTGCACACCTTTACTCCTAGCACTCAGGAGACAGAGGCAAGTGGATCTCTATGAGTTTGAGGCCAGCCTGGTCTATTAGTGAGTTCCAAGCCAACCAGGGGTAGGTACATATTCAGGCTATCTCAAACAAAACAAAACAAAACAAAACAACGATGTTATTAAAATGTTTTGCTATAGTAAACTGGGATTAACAGCAAAAGCCAAGTCCCAACAGAAGCTAGAAACAGAAAAGAGATACAAGAGGACTGTGCGAAACTCACAAAGAGAATTCTTCTCTTAGGCGTCTCCTATATTGCTTCTTCGGTTTCATGGTGTTGAAGTAGGGTAGCTTGATAACATCAGGCCACACTGCTGGACAAGGGCTACCACAGAGACGACTGAAAAGAAAACAAAAGGACAAGTGCAATGAAGTGAATCATGAGCTTCATGACTTCTAGAGGTTCCTGAAGAAAAACTGTCATTTTCTAAGGTCTGGGCACTCTATGACTTATTACACTATTACACTAGTAGAAATTAAAAGAAAGAAAAAAAAAAAGCCAAGCATGACCTTACTTGCTCTAAAGAGAAGCAATATAAGAGAACTGGTTATAAAAAAACATACTGGAAATATTGAAAATCTAATTCAAATTGATTCACATATTTTATAAAGAATGTTTTATCTATAAATGTTTTCATTACCGATTTTATTCTACTCAAGTAGAATTAATTTATTTTCTTTCTTATTTAAGACCAGGTCTCTCTATTATATAGCCCTGGCTGTCCTGGAATCACTGCGTAGATCAGGATGGCCCTGAACTCAGAGAAATAATCTGCCTCTTCTTCCAGAGGCAGGCTGAGATTAAAGGCATGTGGTACCACACCTGGCAGAATTAATTTCAAATAGTAAAAACTGTGAGTTGGTAGGTATGGCCTATAAAGAGACTCTGCCTCAAAATGAAACAAACCAAACAGAAACAAACCAAAAGAAAAAGAACAAGGGAAAGGAACAGTGAAAAAGAAAAGGAAAAAGGAACAACACAAAATACAGCAAGAAAGAGGCCCAAATTCCATTCTAGTTTCAAGCATTCCCCAAATTGCCTATTATAGTTTACATTTTAAAAGTGTGGCTGGAGAAACAGCTTAGTGGAAAGATTGCTCCTGCCAATGACCTAAGTTCAATTCCCAGAAACCATGGTGAAAGGAAAAAGAAAATATGTACTCCACAAAGAATTAACAAAAGATAAAAAAGAAACAACCAAAAATTCTATTCATAGCCTATATAATTAACTAGGCTTTAAGTTCTTTCAAAGCAAATTGTAATTTTATCTCCTCCAAAGTTCAAACAGAAACCAAGCTTTATTCATGGTCTTTTTTTTTGGGGGGGGGGGGTCTTGAGACTGTGTTTCTGTGTAGAATTGGCAATCCTGGAAATTGATCTGTACCCCAGGCTGACCGTGAACTCACAGAGATCCTCTGCCTTTCTGGCCTCATGTATCCTTTATGATTTATGTGTTTGTGTGCATGTGCATATGAAGGTCAACCTTAGATGCTTTTCCTTAGGTGTTACCCTCCTTACTTTTGAGACAGGCATTCTCACGTGGTCTGAAGCTTGCTGAGGGGGCTAAAACTGGATGGCAAGATTACCTATTTCTGCCTCACCAGCAGTAAAGTCACAAGCATGTAACACCACACACTTGCTTTTTGTACATAGGTTCTGGGACCAAACAGCTTATTATGACTGCAAGGCAAATACTTTAACATAACACTGAGCCATTTACCAAGCTTTCATTTTACTTTTTATTGTTTTAAAGATTTCAATGATATTTAGTTAGTTTTTGTGTGTTTCTATGGAAAGTGGTGCATATGCCACAACTCACTAGTGGTTATCAGAAAAATAATTTTCAACAGTCAGTTCTCTCCTTTTACCATGTGGGTCCTGTAGATGGAACATATGTTGTTCGGCTTAATGGTAAGGTACACCAGAAGCCATCTCACTGGCCCACTGCAGTCTGGCTCTATAAACACTGACAACAACAACCAACAGGACACATGTGAGGAGCTGAGGTTCCTTAGATCTTTTCTCAAGGAGGCTGGTCTAAAAAAAAAAGTCTTTCTTTTTTCCAACAAAATTTTCTACATTTATTTAATTAGTGTGTGAATATATGTGCATAGGTAAGTCAGTGAGCAACTTTCAGGATATCTCTCTACCATGTGAGTACCAGTGATTAAAATAAGGTCATCAAGCTTGAGAAAAAGTACTTTTACCTGTTGACCCATCTTGCCAGGTTTTTCTTTTCCCCCCTTTCTTTCTTTTTTCTGTTTTTGAGATGAAGACTCAAGCTGCTGCTCAGGCTGGCCTTAAACTCACAAGCTTAAAAGATTCTTACTGCCTTAGCCTACTACTATACAGCTGTTCTCAAATACAGCGTACTTACATATGACAAAGAACACAAAGGTAAGACTAGGGAGGTGGCTTAAACAGGAAACAGATTCTGCTTCCATCACCCACATGGCAGCCGCCAGCCTCTGTAACTCTAGTTCCAGGAAATCCAACAACCTCCTCTTGCTTCCAAGGGTACCATGTGTGCATGTGGTGCAATTACATACACGCAAGCAAACACTCAAATACATTAAGTTAAAGAGGTATTTTTGGTTATGAGCTACCATGAAGGTAACTAGGAACAGAACATAGATTCTCTGCAAGAATAGCTAGAGCTCTCAATGGCTAAGCCATCGCTTCAGCCTTGTAAAACATACTTTCTAGGTCCACAGGCGGACACAGAAGAGATTGTAAGCTGAACTGAGGAAAAAGAAAAATATAGTATCATTTAGTGGACTAACTGAAAAGTGATGACAGAAATTGGAGGATTTCACTGACTATTCATCTAGTTTTAAAAGTGTGGGTCATAACTAAGGATTACATAACTGGGTCATGTCAAATTTGGCAAGAGGAATATATACAACAACCAAAAAGCTAACTAAAAAAATCAAACGTGTAGTAAGTCTGAGATGTTTCCAGCAGCGATCCCTGGTGTTGTGTGACTTCACTGAAGTCTTGATTCTGAATACACAACAACCTTGCACTGTGAGTGGTATAATCCCACAAAATGCTGATAAAAACTGTCTGAAATACCTAAGCTCAGAAATTACACTATGATATTCTGAACTGCATTGTCTTACTATATACATAAAATTTAGTTCTTTTAGAAACATACTGGCTTGCTCTGTAACACAGAGAAACCCTGTCTTGACAAAAGGGGCAAGGGAGGCTGGTAGGCAGAGACAGACAGAAGCTTTAGCTAGGCATGGTGGTATACACCTTTAATCCCAGCACTCAGAAGGATCTCTTTGAGTTTCAGACCATTCTGGTCTACATAGCAAGCTCTAGAATAGTCAAGGCTACATAGGGACCCTGCCTGCCTAAATGAATGAATAAATTTCAAGGGAGGGCTTTCAATATTTTCCTACCATCATTCTTCAGGATATAAGTATCGATTTAGTCTATTTTTAGACTGTATTGTGTTAGAATGTTTGATTCTAGAAACTACTTGAGTTAATCATTTGAGCTTCATTGAAAAAGTAAATCAATTTTCAATTTCATTGATTTACATTATTTATGTTGAGACAAGGTCTTACTATGTAGTCTTGACTTGTCTAGAGCTCACTATGTAGACCAAGTTATATCTAACTATGCCTGATCTCTTTAAAAAAATGTTTTGTTTTTTTTTTCTTGACTTATTTGTCAGTGTATATGTTGCACACGACTGTGTGGAAGTCATCATCAGATAAGTAGTGCTAGATGGTTCCATCCTATCATGGGGGTCCAGAGATGGAAAGGTTGTAAAGTTGTAAGGATGACATCCATATGTGCATGCCCACACATAAATTAAAAATTAAATTCATTTTGTATGTAAAAATAAAGAGGCATGTCTACTTTATTACTTTGTATAAATTTAATTTCATGTTTAATAATTATAAAATTAGCTTAAAATGAATTTATATTTATCATCTGTAAATGTCTGATTTATATATGTTATTATATACATCAATTACCCAGGGTTATGTAAAAACTTCTCAGGTGAAAGAGATTATGAATGAAAAAGAATTTAAGAAATTCTTATTTATCACACACAGACACTTAAAAGCATATATGCAACTATACCTGATCAGCTCTAGCTGAGCCAGTTCCAAATTGGCTTGAAAAATAGGTTTCTTTGTGAACAGTTCCCCCAGGATGCATCTGGAAAAAAAAGAGTAAAATTCAGAGGTTAGGAAGAAATCCCTTGAGCCTATCTAAAGTGTGTCTCAATAAACTTTTATAGGATTCTGGATTACATGCACTATATCGGGTGGTAAAGTAGCCCAGAACTTCAGTGTTTGGGTTGCCTAAAAGATAGAAAAACAACTTCTTGTGGTGAAAACAGACATTATAAAGGATTTAAATTTTCTAGCAGATCAAAACTCTACTGCCTATAGACAACAGTCCTCTTTATTATAAGCAAAAGGATTTAGTTAGGAGTTCTTCATCTCTGTCACACCACAGTAATCCAAGGAAATACAATTTTATAAGGATGCTTAGCAATTTCTACAAAGGGATTATTAACTTTCTATCATTAATTTGCTCTGTAGAACTATACAATACTATTATAACCCCTCTGGCAATATATTTACAAAAAAAAAAAATGTATTATCAGCTAAAATCAGTTTCATCAAGACTTTTAAATAAATTCTATCTAAATACCTTTGTTATTTTGAAATGGACATTCAGGGCTAGAAGATGGTTCACTAAGTAAAGCAAGTATTGAGGACCTGAGTTTGAATCTATAAAAACCAGAAGCTGGCCCTGAACTCCCAATTCTCCAGGCTGCACCTCCAAAATGTCAGGATTTCAGCCCTCTGCCACCATCCTGAGCTCTATACATAGTTTTATTTAAAAAGAATATTTTTACTAATGGACTGGAGAGATGGCTCAGCAGTTAAGAGCACTGGCTGCTCTTCCAGAGGTCATGAGTTCAATTCCCAGCAACCACATGGTGGCTCACAACCATCAATAATGAGATCTGGTGCCCTCTTCTGGCGTGCAGACAGAACACTGTATATGTAATTAATAAAAATAAAAAATAAAAAAAACTTAAAAAATATTTTTACTAATTCTTTGAGAATTTTATACAATGCATTTTTATCATCACTTTAAAATAATTTATTTTTTAGTATTTGCATGTGATTCTTGGAGGCTACAAGTATTTTAACCCTTGGGCTGGAATCATAGGTATTGCTTGATGTATGTGCTAGGAACTAGATCCATGGTTGTCCTCTGGAAGAACAGCCAAGTATTCTTAACTGTTGAGCTGTTTCTCCAGCCCTAAGATTTCTATTTAAAATTATACATACGATGTGTGTGGGGGGGGGATTATGCATGCATATGCGCATGACCACAGAGGCCAGAGATATTAGATACCCTGGGACTGGAGTTAAGGATGGTTGTGAACTACCATGTGGGTCCTGGGAACGATACCCGGATTCCTCAGCAAGACTATCAAGAGCTATTAATAACTGAGCCAACTTTATTGGCTCTAGCCTTCTTATCAGCATTTTCTTCTCCTCCTTTTATCTTTTTTTTTTTGAAAAAGGTTCTCACTATGTGTACCTGCTTGCTTAGAACTTGCTATATAGACCAGTCTGGCCTTGATCAAAGAGATACACCTGCCTCTGCCTCTGCCTCCCAAGTGTTGGAATTAAAAGGCGTGTGCTACTATGCCTCATTCTATTAGCATTTTTAACCTCAAATGGCCTAATTTTTACTTCACCTATAATTTGTTTTATTAGCTTTTCTAGTGTCTTCCCTAATTTGATTAGAGGTAGAAAAAGTAAAAATAGAAATAAGGTTTGTTTCCAATATTAACTGTCAAATCAACCTCTAAATACAGTTTTAAACCAACTAATAAAATAAAAGAGTAGTAAAAAAGAAAATAAGGAATAAGTAAGTTTATTTCTTTGGAAGACCTAGAATTGTTTCTTTATTGTTTTTGATTTTCAAGAAAGGGTTTTTCTATGTAGGCCTTGCTGCCCTGAAACTCAATCTATAGACCAGGCTCACCTCAAACTCAGAGATCCACCTGCCTCTGCCTCCCAAGTGATTTTACTAAAGGCATACATGACAATTACCCAGTTAGACCTTGGAACTCTTAATCCTCCTGACTCCACCAATTGACAATCTATTTTCTGCTCTGATTTGTATACCTAAGTGTGGTAATCTTTTGGTATGGAAGACTTCTTTATTATGAAGCCAACATTTTATTTATCATACTAATCTAGCAGATTGCACAGACTGAAAAAGACAAAACAAAACAACACAAATACAACTATAAATTCTTGCATGTTTTTTTCTGTTGGTTGAGAGAGTTTGAGAGAGAGTTGGCCTCAAGGATGACCCTGAACTCTTGATTTTCCTGCCTCTAAGATCTTCCTCATGCACCTTAATGGGTGGGTTACTAACTTTCTAGCTTAGCAATAATAATTTGGGTTACTACTGCTGAATACAAGTAAATCCAGCTTGAGTCATTAAAACGTAACTAAAACACCATTTGATTTAGGTAGGCTACCATCTTGTTGAATTTTACAAATAAAAACCATAGCACTCTTCTTAAAGACTTACAAAAAAAAGAATGGGAACAATGATACCCTATAACCAACAAAGGAATGTGGCATGAATTTGCCAAACCACATACGAACAAAACAGATATAGCCATTTAAAATATTAAGGACCCTGGTAGAGTAGTACATGCTTTTAAGCCCAGCACATGAGGAGGGAGGGTAGCTGAGGCAGGTGGGTCCTGTGAGTTCAAGATCACCCTAGTCTATATATCAACTTCCAGAACAGTATGTGCTGGGTTTGTGTGTTTGGTTTTCTCTTCTTCTTTTTCCTTATTTTTGGTTTTCTCGAGACAGGGTTTCTTTGTGCAGTGTTAGCTGTCCTGGAATCAGACAGGGCTACATAACAAGACCCTGTCTCAAAAGAATTAATAAAAATAAAACACTTTAATGCATAACATACAAAATATAGCTTTTACATTTCATTTTCAAGCTAGAAATAGAGCAAATGTCTGTATTTCCAACACTTGGTAGTTGAATGCAAGGGAATTAGAAGTTGAAGGTTTTCTTGGGCTATATGATGAGTCTGATGACCGTGTGGGCTAAATGTGACCTTGTCTTAAAAGAAAAATCATTTTCAGAGTAGCCATGTTGGTGCACACTTACAACCCCAGCATTTGTGAGAAAGAGGCAGGAAGATTGCCACAAAGATTGCCAGCCTGGCCTACACAGTAAACCAAAATAGCCAGGACTACATATCCTCAGTAGAAAAATCAAAAGGAAAGGAAGAAGAAAAAAGGAGGGAGGAAACAACAACAAAAAAAGCTCAAGAGAAATGACTGATTGCAGACAGAAGACTGGAACAAGAAAACAAGACTATTAAAGATTATTAACAATATATCAAAAATAGGAAGAACTACATTAAAGACTTAACTAGAGAGACGGCTAGAATGTTAAGAGCACTTGCTATTCCTGAAGAGGACCAGAGTTCGGTTCCCAGCACCCATGTCAGACAGAGTACAACTGCCTGCTACTTCTAGCTTCTGGGTACTCGGACACCCTCTTCTGGGTTACATGGACAGTTCAACACACTTGGCATATGTTTCCACACTCTCCTCTTTCTGTCTGTCTGTCTCTCTCTTTCACTCACACACACACACACACACACACACACACACACACACACACGTTATATAACAATGAACCAAAACATATCAAATATGAAAGTCTATCAGATCTTAATGAACTGAATAAACAAGAAAACCAATAAACTATTATTTTCTCACTGGTCATTTTTAAGAGAACAGTAGAAAAACCACTTCACTGCTTTCAAAAATTGGCAAACAAAATGAAATAATTAGCTTTTTTTTGCAATACTGAGAAATAAGCCCAGGACTTCACACTAATATTAGGTGGGTAAGACATTGAGATCTATCCCCATTCCTAGCATTTTCTTGTTTTTGTTACTGTAATAGTGACAACAATAAAAAAAAAACCTAAACTATGAGAAATAATAAATGATCTAGTTTTTTCTCAGGAGATTGTAAGTAAACAAATGAAAATCAAAAGAGACTGAAGAGAATGTTAACTAAAAGACTTCACATAAGCTAGGCATATTGATATATAACTGTTATCCCAGATAATTGGGGCTCTCAGAAGCATTCCCAGTTTCAAGAAAGCCTGGGCAACTAAAGCAAGTTGCTAAGTTATTTTCTTTTTTTAAACTAAGACTTATTTTTATTTATATTTATGTATGGGTGTATAAGTGTGTATATACTTAGAAAGACAAATACCTAATATAAAGAAGAAACAATACATGTTAATACTATGTGAGTTACAGACAAAACAAAAGGCTAAGAAAATCTTACCCACAGCTCCAAACATCAATGGCTGGTGTGTATCTTTCCTCCCCAAGAAGCAGCTCTGGAGGTCGATACCACAGAGTAATGACTTTGTTTGTGTATGGGCGACTGAAACATAAAACCATCAGGATGTAAAATTTGTGTGTATTCTTTTCACATATTTCTGATAAGTATGTAACACAAAAAAAAAAAAATAGCTGCCAATTTTAGATAAGATTGTTAAAACAATTCCAAAAGCAAATTAACAGGCCAAAAGTAAGCTGGACAGAAGTTAAAGATGAAGAAATCACTTCTAGCACCTTGGGCTAACTTATTTCACTAGAGGGCTAAATGAAGAATCCAGATAGTGTCTAAGATTTAGGTGCCCCAAGGCCTTTAATGCCAACATCCATACATACATGGAAAACACTCAAGCTATAAATGTATACAAATACACATAACATAAGCAACTCCAGCTTCAGGAGGATATCTCTGTAGTCACGTGTGTGTGAGAAACACACACACAAAATTACAAACAAAAATCTTTTAAAAAAAGAATTAATAAAGGCTGGGTAGCTCATGCCTTTAATTCCAACACTCTGCAGGTAGAGGCAGGTGTATTTCTGTGAGTTCAAGGCCAACCTGGTTTACAGAAAGAGTTCTAGGACAGGAAATGCAATATAGAGCAACTCTGTCACAAACCCAAACAAAAAGATCTAGGTGGTAACACAGTCAAATAACTTGAGAATTCTAACAGTCATAATAATTTGTAGAATTTGAGATTAAAAAGATTAAATTAAAAAGATTCTTAATTAAATTAAGATTAAAATTAAAAAGATTCTTCTCGAATTCCCACAATCAGTTTTACCTTTAAAAAAATTGTTTTTTGAGATTGTGTTTTTGCTATACCAAAGTTGGCCTTGAATTATGAGACATAAATACACCTTCCCATATGTAGTGTTGATGAATGTCTCACCTCTCTTCAGAGTTATAGAGCCGAGCGAGTCCAAAATCTGCTAGTTTGATTTGCCCGCTGTAAGATAAACAAATAATTATTTTCATAAGTAAAAATAGTAGCCCTCTAACTACACTTGGAAATTTAAGTGCTGATTAAAAGGCTAAAAGGATTATAAAAATGATTTTTAATGCCTGATCTCATTTCGACTATTAATGGTTACCCCCCAAATGTAGTCTCTTCTGACAAAGTATATAATGCTTCACAATATTTTTCCTTTAGCTATTATCAGATTTTAAATTTTGATTCTAATTTTTCTTTTTCCTTTTTACCATGGTGTCTGCATACATTACCCAGCTTGGTCTCTAACTCCTAAACTTAAGTAATCATCTTACCCAGCCAAGAACTGGGACTATAGGTACACATCTTCCCTGCCAGCTCTAAATTTTTGTTGTTGCTGTTGTTATTATTTGAGACAGATTTCTCTGTGTAGCACTGGCTGTCCTGGATTTGCTTTGTAGACCAGGCTGGCCTTAAACTCACAGTGATATGCCTGCCTCTGCCTCCCAGGTGAGTGCTGGGATTACAGGCATGCACCATGCCCCCAGGAAATACCTATTTTTGTTTGTTATTATTTTTTATTTTGAGAAAAGGGTATACCACATAACCTAGCACCAGTACCTGCTAAAGTGTTATTTAATGATGAAGAGGAAATAAAAGGAATAGTCTGCTCAAGACAAAGAGATAGTTAAGGCCAAGCATAGTGGTCTTTAATCCTAGCACTAAAGCAGAGGCAAGAAGGTCAGGTTCATGGCAAGTCCAGGCTTCAGGGTGAGATCCTGTCTCAAAGCACCAAAGACTGATGATGAAGCATGAAGCCTAAAGCCCTAAGTTTGATCCCTAACACTACACATAAACAAACAAACAAACAAAAACTTGCCTGTGCTTCATTCTCATAAATGATAAGTCCAATAATAGGTCTCAGTTTATGAATCTGTACTTTTTACCCCTTAGTGCTGGGAACTGAACCTAGGGCCTCACACATACTAGGCAGTACTCAGCCATCCCCAGTTCTGAATCTATATTTTTTTTTCTTTTCCTCCTTCTCTTGTCTCTGTCTTTCCCCCTCTCTCTCTTTTATTTGAGACAGGGTCTCCCTCAAAACCCAGGCAGGCCTAGAACTTGAATTTGGCCTGGCTTCAAATTCACAGTAATCCTCCAGTTACAGGTTCCCAACTGCTGAAATTATAGGCACAAGTCATTATACCTGGCTCTGAATGTGCATTTCTCATTTCTAACAAGCTCATATATGATGCCAATATAGGTGACCAAAAACTCAAAGCGCAAATCAGATAATGGTCTGAAAACCATAATTTTATAATAACTCCTTTATTTATTATTATTATTTTGAAACTATATGTTGCTATGGGCTGTCTTCAAATTCATAATCTTTATGCTTCTGCCATTCAGCTTGAGACTCACTCCTTTAAGGGAATTACAATCACCTTTGACTCTGTTCTCCCTCCATCTCCTCTAGTTCTCTCCCTCTTCTTCCTCCTCCCTCTCTCTTCATTCTCCTCATCTCTAATAGTACTTTAGGAATTAAACTCAGGCACTTATGCATGCTAAATGCTCTGCTACTGAACTACATTCCCATCCCTCAGTATATAGTGATGTCAAAGAATATTTTAAGAAAATTAAACATAAAATCAGGGGAATTACTTAAAAATTATAAACTACTCAAAATTATGTTTATCTTTCTAAATTTATGTATCCTATTTTAACATTTATACTGATGGCATCTAAGGTACCTGATAGCTCAGTTAACACAAAATTTAGATAGTAAAGAAAGGAAGCTATCCCGGGAGACGTTCCATAAATGTATAAACAAAGGAACAGAATATAAACCAAGAAAATCAACAAATTTTTACATTAAATCTACCACTATCATTCCTGTTAAGTCTATACACCTTTATCCACTTGCCCAAAATCCACTTGCCCTTTTTACCAGTGTGAAAGTCTTGCCTTGAATTCGTAATAATCCTCAAATTTTAGCTTTCCAAATGTGGTATGAGCCACTTTATCTGCCTCATTACAGTTTAAAGTTTAAGTTCTAAGAAAATTCCAAAAAGAGAGAGAGAGAGAGAAAAATAAAGGAATGATTATCCAATTATTAAGAAAAAGAGTTCTTCAAACTTTTCTCTCTTTTTTTTTTCCCAAGGCAGGGTTTCTCTGTGTAGCCTTGACTATCCTGGACTCACTTTGTAGATCAAACTGGCCTCCAACTCACAGATATCCACCTGCCTCTGCCTCCCAGAGTACTGGGAGCCACCGAGCCTAGCTTCCTCAAAGTTCTTGATCATTGTTATTTCTGAGGGCCCAAGATAACCCAAAACTCCAGGCACAAAGCAGATCTAAAAATGGCAAGAAACATATTTATGGAAAATTTACTGGCCTTTAACATCATCAGCAGCTAGTGTATTTGCTACATGACTCATACTAGGGACTAATGTACTTCTACACTTGTTTGGTATTATCCATTACTTCTGTATGTGTGAGTGTGTAGGTCAAAAAAACAACTTACAGGGGTCAGTTCACTCCCTCCAGCCTGTGAGTTCTGAGAATTGAACTCTTGTCATGCTTGGCAGCATGTGCCATCTTACTGTCCCTTATTTACTTTTTGTGGTGCTAGGAGTTGAACTGAGAACCTCATATAAAGCTATGCAAGAACTCTTAACACTAAGCTATATTCCTAGCATATTTATTTGCTTACTATTTATTTAATAGTAAATAGTTTGTTTGTTTTTTGAGACAGGGTTTCATCCGTGTAGCCTTGGCTGTTTTGGAACTCACTCTCTAGACCAGGCTGGCCTCAAACTCAAATATCTACCTAATTCTGCCTCTGTACACCCCGACCACCTGGCAAAGGTAAGGTCTTACAGTTCAGGCTGGCCTGAAACCCTAATGAAAAAGTACTGAGAAACTTTGGCATATACAACAGAACAAAAAACCTATTATTGCTTTATTTATTAAATCTCCATGACAGGAACAAAATACATGCACATAGGAATAGCAGAGAATCCTTTCTGAGACTGTGATTTTAAAATGTCTTTTGACATACTCTTCAAGTACTCAATGGTTTTATTTCTTCCAAATTTAAGGGTCTGTCACATTATACTTCCATCCCTTGACTGTGCTGCATATTCACTTATTCCTCACACTACACTAATGTTAAGTGTACTTGGCAGACTTTCTTAAGTGTTATAATTTGTAAAATGGTATCCATGACTACTCCCTTTGTAAACATGGCCATATTATAGTCAATATTTTTTATTCTTAATTTTTTAGCTATTTCTCTTGCATTCTGCTCATTTTATTATTCAGACAGGGTCTTATTATATAGACTAGGTGAGTTTCAACTTCAGAGATCCACCTGCCTCTGCCATCATGCCTAACTTAAAGGAAACACTTTTCAATCCAGTGCCAACTGTATATATACCTTTACTCCCAAAATTGGGGAAACAGAGGCAGGTGGGTTACTGTGACTTCTAAGCTACCAGGTTACATAGTGAGACCATCTAATTATAAGCATATATATTATTTTCATATGTACGTGTGTGTGACTGCCTGACTTTATATACACCACATACATGCAAGAAGGCCTGAAGGCTAAAAGAGGGTACTGGATCCCCTAGAACCATAATTATAGCTGGTTGTTAGCTCCTCTGTGCCTACTAGGAACCAAAACTCAGCCACCTGTGAGAGCAGAAAGTACTCTTGAGCATTAAGCAATCGAACTAGCCCCTATGATACTTTGGTTTCCCTGCCTTTAGTCTCTCATCATATAGTATTAGTGCCCTTTTAAGATAGAAAACTAGGTCTCTCCAAAACAGTATGACTTGAGTTGGGAATGAAAGTTTACACCTCAGCACTTAGGAGGCTGAAGCAGGATTATTGTGAGTTAAAGAACATCCTAGGCTACAGAGTGAGACACTTGTTCATAAATAAAAACAAAACCAAAAACCAATTAAGTCTTTTTATACTTATGTAATGAACATCATGGAACTCAACCTAGCTCTGCTCTTTCTTTTGTAAATAGTTCTTTGCCCCACAACTCACATTTTCTCCTGGCAATCCCTTATACTCCCATTATGGGGACCAATATGGCCAGACTTCACCTTTCTCAAGAAGGGACTTGACAAAGGTGCCAGTGCTGGTAGTGTTCATCACCATAGGAACCTCACTATAATTATGCACCCACTCAGCCCCTATACCAAGTATGCCGCCACAATCATCCAGGCTACACCCTACAACCTAATTTGACTGTGCTAAGCAATGGGAATATGCCCGATATATACAGCCATTCACAGAACCCTCTGGGTCAAGCATGGAATGGTTAAAAAACTGGTGAATACTTCTACTGATGGAAGAGGCACCTAATAAAAATATAAAAATTGAGCCAGATACCATGGTGCAGGCCTTTAATCCCATCACTTGGGAGGCAGAAATTTCAGAGTTTGAGGCCATTCTGGTCTACAGAACAAGTTCCTGGACCAAAAAAAAAAAAAGTATATATGTATATATATGTATGTGTTTTATGTGTATATGTTTTTCACAACCCCCCTTTCTCTCTTTGACAAAGTCTTGCTATGTATCCATGGCTGACCTAGAACATACTATGTAGACCAGGTTGGCCTTGAACTCAGAGATCCATCTGCCCCTGCCACCCCAGGGCTGGGATTAAAGGCAAGAGCCACTATGACTACATAGTAGACATTTTTAATGTTTATAAGGCAAACATGAATGCACGTTTCTCCTGCCTCAACTTCTCAAGTAACTGAGACCACAGATGATAACTATAGATGTAGACTTAATAGTAATGAATCTTCACCTTTAGTAAGAGATTTTGAGTTACAGTGAGAGCAAGAGGAGGAAAAAAAAACCCACAAAATTTTTCGAAGTGGTGTCTTACTAAATTGTTCAAGCTGGTATCAAACTCCTGACAACTCTCATTTTAACTTCCCTAATAGCTAGGATTGTAAAAATATACCCACAGTTCAAGTTTAAGAACTAATCTTTTAGCCAGGCATGGTGGTGCACACCTATAACCCCAGCACTCACAAAGTCAGAAGCAGTTTGAGGCCAGCCTGGTCTACAAAGTAAGGGCAGGACAGCCAAGGCTATCCAGAGAAACCCTCTTTCAAAACAAAAACAAACAAACAAAATCTTTTTACATTATGTTTGCCTCGCAATAAAGTCATATCATTTTAAATAGTGCTTCAGACCTTGAATGCCCTCCCTACTGGAACCGTAGATACAAGTAAGCTACTTAGTACGATACACAAGATCTTAAATTGGATCCTAATAACAATTCAGCTTCATCTTTCACTGTAAAGTGCTTTACTTTTGCTCTAGCAATGTTATGTTTATAGTTAGACATATTATACTTTTCTTTCATTTTTTTCTTTCTCTTTTTCCTTTTTTATTTTTTGGAGATAATAGTCAAAAGTTTCAAGCTGGCTATGAAATTGCTATGTAGTACGAGGAATCAAAAACTCAGGTCTCAGTGCACACTGGCAAGTAGTCTACCAATTGAGATACATTCACAGCTCTACTTTGAAACTGTAGATCCTCTTCCCTTAGCTTCTCAAGTGCTATGATTACAGGCATTTTCTCTGTCATGAATATGTGCTTTTGTATAAGCAATGTCTTCTGCAGAGATTTTGATTCTTCATTGTCAGTCTTTCTGATAAATTTCTATATATTCCTGAAAGTTGAACCTTTCCAGGTGATTATAAATTAAACAAACAAACAATATGGGTCCAAGTGTGGTGGTGTATGCTTTTAATCCTAGCATTTGGGAGGCTGAGAAAAAAAAGAATCATAGGTCAAACCCACCTGAACTACAAACTGAGACTCTGTCTAAAACAACAAGTGAAAATGCTTATTGAACAGTTAATAAACTAGTTAGCTCTACTACTGGCTTCAGCTGTACAATGTACACTAACAGGCTTTTAGGGTTAAAATTTGGACAATCTCAGGTAATCCCACATGGCTGCTTATTCCACCTCCCAGCAAAACCACCACACCACCCTGGGTGTGTGCATGTGTGTGTGTGTTGAGGTAAAGTTAACTTCCTCTAAAAGGAAGTTAATTCACAGTCTCAAGTGCAGCTAACGAGGCAGAACTGGTTCTTTCCACTAATGAAGCATATTAAGAGCCCAATGGATAACAGACTATTTATTGACTATATTGACTATATGGTATATTCTCTACTAGATCAATCCACTAAAAGTTTAGCAATTAAAAAAAAGCTGTAAACCTATCATTAAATCTGGAAAGATGATAGAAGAGGAAGGGAAAGAGGAGGGAGACAACAAAAAAATGAATACAATGAACATGTATGCAAAGAGAAAAAAATTACACATCTTATAATCCTAATTATCTAGACAAAATCAAAAGACAAAAAAGTGATTAGCCTTATTTAGTTACTATGTTACCTGTTATTCAGCAAAATGTTAGAACATTTAATATCTCGATGGAGGAAATTCTTTTTGTGACAGTAATCCAATCCTTCCATTAGCTGTTTCATGAATGACTTGATATGGTCCTCAGAAAAATGCACCAAACCTGATTCTAGCAGTCCCATTAAGTCATGGTCCATATATTCAAACACAAGATAAAAGGCACCTATATAACAAGAAAAAGAAATTTTTAAATGTTGACATAACAATATTCAAATTCGAATATATTTTCAAGTTAACCAGATTCTCTCAACCTGTTAGTTTTATAGATGAAGACCTAAAAGTTAAACTAATAAAATAATTTGCCCTTTCTAATGATAACACTATTGGAATAAATCTTGAATCCTATACTAGTGTTAGGTGGACTATTTACATTTTGAGACAACTGCCACAATTAGATTACATTACTATACTTCATGATCAAAGTCTCTTAACAACTGCAGACCCTGGGACAAATCCAAATCCAATCAGCTGCCAACTATAAGTTTTTCTAGTTTTACTTTATGACAACCATGCTCATTTGTTATAAATTATGAGACCTTTTTCTTTTCTTTTTTTTTTTCATACTTATTTTATCTTATATGCAAAGTTTCACCTGATGTGTTATCTGTGTACAACACCCTTGCCTGGTGCCAGATGAGGCCAGAAGATATTACTGGATCCACTGTAACTGGAGTTAACGATGGTTATAAGCTGACATGTGAGTACTGAGAAGGCAAACGAGGGTCCTTTGAGCCACCTCTCCAGCTCTGCCCTCCCTACTCCCTTTTTTAAGACAGTTCTTGGCTGGCCTAGAATTCGCTATGCAGACCAGGCTGCCCTCACAGAATATGCATAGGCTGCCACCGCCTCCAGGTCTGGCACATTCTGGTCTCAATGGGCAAAAAAATACATGTGCCATAAAATTTAGGTAAAAAATATTGAAAAATGCTGTCAGGATAGGTCAGTGTACTTGCCATGCAAACCAAATAACCTGAGTTTGATCCTCAGAGCCCACTGTAGAAGAGAACCAACTAAAAATTGTCCTCTGAACTCTACATGCACACAATGGTACATATGCATTTGTACTAATATAATGATGATGATGATAATAATAATTTACAAAAATAATGCAGAAGTATGAATCATTTAATCATAAAGCTTCTACATTCATAAACAGATAAAAATAGTGAGAAGAACACTAAAAATAGTTGCAAGCAATTTGGAATTTATCATACTGACACTGTAACATGAAATACTAGACCTCCAAGCTAAGGATGTAGCTTACTTGGGAAAGTACATGCCTAAGACCTTGGATTTGTTTTATGTAAGCCCTGGCTGGGCTGGAACCTATGTAGAACAGGCTAACCCTAGAACTGCCTATGTCTCACAAGTGTTCAGATTAAAGACACACATCACCATGCCAAGAAAAACCCTGGGTTTGCATCCAGTCCTTAGCAACATATAAACCAAGTATGGTAGAAAAATTAAAGGCTGTCATTAGCTACAGAGTTATAAAACAGCTTGGGCTATATGAAATCCTGTCTTAAAACGAAACAAAACCCTCCAGGTTTATGATTCTGTTCATTACTAGCATAAAACAAAAATCCAACCCAAGGTCTCAAGTGAATTAGGCAAGTACTCCATAACTTAGTTATACCCCCAGTACAAGGCAGGGATTCTTTATATAGAGGGCAGACTTCAAGAAATCTCTTACATTTACCAAATTGTGTGCATTTTTTTTTGAGAGAAAGAACGTGTGTGTGTGTGTGTGTGTGTGTGTGTGTGTGCGCGCGCGCGCGCTCGCGCGCGAATGCATGCACACACATAAAAACATAGGTGGACAAAGATACTCTGGCTCATAGGTACACATGCTGTGTGAAGGCTAAAGACTGACTTCAGGTCTTCTTCCTTTTCTAGCTTTTTGAGACAGGTCTCACTAAACTTAGAGCTTACTCTTTCGGCTGGCCAGTGATTCCCAGTGATCCACCTGTCTCTGCCTTGCACAGTGCAGCATCAGAGACATGCACTGATAACCTCAGCTTTTCCTTGGTACTCAAATCCTCATGTAAGCACTTTACCCACTGAGATATCTCCTCAGCCCCTTCACATTTCTTTTTTCTTTTCTTCTTTCTTTGCGGTGCGGGTAGAAGGGTGGGGACAGGATGGGGACATTAGCATTGTCACAGCTCCACTAAAATTCTGAAAATACTCCATAGTTCCATTAAAGAAAGACTGCATTAAAGGAGTACCTTGGAGTAGACCTGATAACTTAAAAGACAGAGAATGGAGAGATGGCGCAGAGCATTGGTTGCTCCACCAGAGGACCAGGAATTCAGATCCAAAACTCACATTGTCTTTACTGTAGTTTGTATTGTTTACTCATATCTGTGATTTTTCTTAGAAACAGCTAAAAGATGGCTCAGCTGTTGAGTACTGTTTTTCTTTTATTATATATATCTATGTAATGATATATATGACTGATTAAAAATGTACTTGGAGGCCAGCAAAGGCTATCAGATCTCCCTGGAGCTGGAGTTACAGGTGGTTGTAAATTGCCTGATGAAGGTTTTGGAAACTGATTTCATATCCTCTACAAGACCAGTATTCACTCTCCTGGTTCCTGAAAAACAATTTTTAAAAGGATGTATAAACCAGGCATGCTGGTTCACACCTGTAATCCCAACACTCAAGAAAATGAGACAGGAAGACAATGGCTTCAGGCTGGCCTGGACTACACTATGAGAACTTGTCTCAAAAGTAAAAGAAACAAAAGAGCACATTCTAAAACATACACTTTTAGGTGGTTTCATAATTTTTATGACCAGCACAAACTATACACAAACATAAATAATGTAGTTCATTATATACCTGTAACAGCAGTCACACACAACCTATTTAGCTACACGGTGTGTGACTAGGGGATGGGCTCAAATTAAGACTACATAAATTTTTACTGTTTCTTAAAATCAATCTCAAACTACCATGAGCCAGGTGTGGTGGTGCATGCCTTTAATCCCAGCACTTATGGAGTGAAGCAGAGGCAGGCAGATCTCTGAGTTCAAGGACAGCCTGATCTACAAAGTGAGTCCAGGATAACCAAGGCTACACAAAGAAACCCTGTCTTTAAAAAAAAACAAAAACAACAAAAACCTACCATGAAAATCCTCTGACTAAGCAATTTTGCCTAAGATGCTGTATTTTAATTCACAGGTAAAGAATTTTTAGAGGGCTGAAGACATGGCTCAGCTGTTAAGAGCACTAGCTGCTCTTTGAGAGGATCCAGATTTGATTCCCAGATACCATATATCTGTAATCCCAATTCTAGGGGATCTGATGGAATTGAGATTCCTCTAACTCCAAGTTTGAGGCCAGCCTGGTCTACACAGTGAGTTCCAGGATGGCCAGGTCTACACAAAGAGAAATCCTGTCTCCAAAAAACCAAACACACAGAAAGATTAAGTCTTCTATAGATTAGCCTTGGTTGGCCTCAAATCTACTATGCAGACTAAACTGGCCTTGAACCTGTGATCTCTTGGCTCAGCCTCTAGTTGTGATTATAGGAATAACACCATACCTAGCTTAACTGTTAATATATATTTTACGTCAACTGCAGGTGTCACTTTGTCTTTTTCTTGTTAATTGTGTGTGTGTGTGTAGCATGCATGCAGAGGTCAAAGTAAAATTCCTAGGAGTTGTCTCTCTACTGTCACCTGTGGGATCTAGGTTGTCAATTCTGAACAAAAACACCTCCACCTGCTAAGCCATGTAGACAACCCCACCTTTATATGAAGCTCACCAAGGTCAATGTGTCTGCTTTCCTGGCACTGGGGCCTCATGTGCACATCTCACATGCATGTTTTGTTATTGTTGTTGGGCTCCCCTTCCCCCACCATGGGTTTTAGGCGTTTATGTCCTCACATTTGTTCAACACAAACTTTAATGACTGAGCTACCTCCCAGCTACCAAGCAAAGGTCCTGATTCAGATTACTCACAGATTAAAAAAAAAAAGAAGAAGAAGAAAAGAAAAGGAAGGCAAGCTTACGGGCTCTAAAGAAGACTAAGCAGTTAAGAGGATTTGGATTTGATTCCAGAACCCATTGTGTGGCTCACAACCGTTTATAACTGTCTACAACTGTCTAGTTCTAAGCCCTTTATCAGCAATGGATACATATGGTGCTGACATATATTCAAGCAAAATATCAATACATATTCGGTAAAAATAAAATAAATGTGTTTACATACACACATACACACACATCTGTAGAGCCAGAGAAATGGCTCAGTGGTTAAGAACACTCATCTTGTAGCAGAACTGAGTTCAAATCCCAGCACTCACACAGTGGCTCTCATAACCACTTATACTTTCAGCTCCAGGGGACCTGAGGTCAACCTGTCAAAAAATTCACACAGGCATAACTACACATGGTGGTGCATCACATTAATCCTAGCGCCTGGAGGGTAGAGGAAAGAAGATAATGAGTTCAATATCATCTGTAGCTATATAGCAAGCCTGACGCTGCTCTGGCTACATAAGACAATAGCCTAAAAAGTTCACACAAGCAAACAAGCTAAGAAAGGAAAAGTAAAATGGTGTTATGCTAGCATAGACCTATAATAGTATTATTTGGGAGGCTGTTGAGCAAAGAAGTTCTCAAGAAATTGGAAACCAGCCTGAGCTACATAATAAGAATCTGTCTCAAAAAATAAAATATGAGCTGGAGAGACAGCCAAGCACTTAAGAGCACATAATGTTCTTCCGGAGGACCTGATTTTGGCTCTCAGCAACCAAAATAAGTGGCTTACAACCACCTGCAACCAGCTGCAGGAGATCCAGCCTGGTCTATATACAAGTTCCAGAACAGCCAGGACTTGAGAGATTTTGTCTGTAAAAGTAAATAAATACATACAAAAACAGAAACTATATGTTTCAATAAATAGGAACACTTGAAGCTCTTGCAACAGATCTTTGTTCAATCCCCAGAACCCACATGGCTACTTACAACCACTAATAAACTCCACTTTCTGAGCATCCAGTGCTTCTTCTGACTTCCATGCAGGCAAAAACATTTATACACATAATAACAAATAAACCTTTTTTAAAAAAAATATAAAACAGCATTCTGGAGTCAGAAGCAGGCAGCTATCTAGTTTAAGGCTAGATACCTGGTCTATATAGAGATTTGCAGGGGAACCAGGGCTACAAGAAGACTTTGTATCAAAAGTAAATAAATGTTGGGTGCGGTGGCTCATACCCTTAATCCCTGCACTCAGGAGGCAGAAGCAGGTAAATCTGAGTTTGAAGCCAGCCTCATCTACAGAATGAGTTACAGAACTGTCAGTGATACATAGAAACCCTACCCACCCCAACCACTACAAAAAAAAAAGGAGATGAAAAAAATAGCTCCATGGTTAAAAGGAGATGGAAAAATGGCTCCATGGTTAAAAGAACTGATTGCTCTTGCAGACACATGGCACACATTCTAATAAAACCTCATACTCATGAGATTAAACAAATTTCTGCTATTACCTTTGTCCTTCTTGAAATCCAGTGCATCTTGTTTGTCTGTGACAATTTCTTTCATGTTAACAACACTTCGGTGGACTAACTGACGAAGAATCTTGATCTCCCTGATGGCTGTGATCGGGAAGCCTTCTTTCTCATTGTCTAGACGAACCTTCTTCAGAGCTACTAGTTCTCCTGGGGGGGAGGAGGTTGTGAGTAAAAGGTGCAAACTATCACTGTAATCAACTTGCATTTCTTAGTAATAAACTAACATTACATGTCACCTTACAGACTTAAGCATTAAAAAAAAAAAAAAAAAGAAACAAAAACATAAAATGTGTTTCCCCTCCTTTTTTTAGGGGGCTGAGATAGAACTTACAACCTATGAGAAGCATACCTTCTACCATTGGGCTACACAACCAGCCCTATTCCTATGTTCTCAAATTTTCAAATAGATTCATGCTGATATATAATCTCATTCTTAAGCTGGGCATTGTGGTGCACGCTTTTAATCCTAGCCCTCATGGAGGCAGAGGCAGGCAGATCTCTATGTGTTTTGAGGCTAGCCTGATTTACAAAGCAAGTCCAGGACAGTCAAGGCTGCATAGAGAAACTTAGTCTCAAAAAACCAAATAGGTAGATAGGCAGGTGGGCAGGAGGTAGGTAGAAAGGAGTTAAGTAAGTAAATAAATAAATCCTTTTTTTCCTCCCTGGCTTACTCATTTCTGAGACAGGGTCTTGCTAAGTAGACTGAGCAGTCTCTAACTTGCTATGTTCCTTCCTCTCCCACCTAATGATCTCACATAGTAGAATGAGAGTTTATAGATTCCTTGCAAGTTGTCCTCTGACTTCCCAAAGTGTACATGACACAAATATGCCCAAAGACAGAACAAATACATTTGTACTCAATAAATAAATAAAATACAATACTCTCCATCCCCCCACCAAAATTGCAGCGAGCAATGAAAAGTTTGTAATAGATAACAAAGAGGACTAGGATTATATTAGAGCCTTTTTGACAGAGTGCTAGAATAAGCTGTAGGTTCAATTCCCAGCACAAACACACAATATAAAACCCACCATCAAGTCAAAAAAATAAGTATTTAAAATATAACAAAAAGTAGAGGATTTAAGCTTTGAGATTGTAATGCTAAAATCAAATCTAGGACTTCACAAATGTACCCAAGCAGTCTACCACTGAACTATATCCCTAGTACAAAAAGGAAAGCTTTAATACAATACTACCATACAGTCAACTCAGTGGCCATTCAAGAAATCATACAACTGCAGACTAAAAACAGGTGGCAAGTGATATTGTACATGTTTAGACCTTGTTTTCTTTGTCATTAATTCGTGAATGATACCAATGTTTATTCAGAATTTGCCTTATTAGTACTATAAATATTCTAGAGATATTATAAACTACACAGGAGGATGGACATAGGATACATTTAAGGGAATTGGTATAGGGAGGTCCTGGAGCAAATACACTAAGAGATGACCAAACTATTCTTTTGAAGCATTTTAATCTAATGAACAGTAATAAAAAAAAAAAAACAACAAATTAAAGTTTATAACTTACTTTAGTAAATCTATGACAATATTAGTAATAATTAGTTAAATTATTAAGCTTCTGACATCAAGAATTTTATTAAAATACCTGTGTCTTTGTCCTTGGCTTTATATACTTGGCCATAGGTTCCCTCTCCAATAATCCCAATAATGTCAAACTTGTCCACACAGCGCTTCCCCCAATCACTTTCTGTTTGTCTTCTTTCTCCATAACGAGGACAACAAATTCTAAAAAGAACCAAGTAAAACAGTTACTTTTTGCCATTAAGTGACTGGCTTTTTAATAAAATTTAAATTGAAATGGCAGAAATGAGGTAATAAAAAGTATCTATCAATGGCTATTATGGCATTCTGGCTTCAAAAGGTACAAGATGCTGGTGTGGTATATGAGTGCTCACTAAACACATGGACTGCTTTTTGAAAAAGAAATATGGTTAGGGCTGGGCATGTGGAGTTTGCAATTTTGTCTTTTTGCTGGTATGGAATACATACACTTCCATGTATTTTTACAGTAAAAATGCATTAAAAAAATCTTTCACAAAAATATGGAATGCTTCACGAATTTGTATGTCATTCTTGCGTAGGGGCCATGCTAATCTTCTCTGTATTGTTCCAATTTTAGTATATGTGCTGTCAAAGCGAGCACTTGTTTTTGTTTTTTTTTTTTTTTTAAAAAAAAACAGGATCCTACAATGGAGCTAGTTGATCTCAAACTCACACTGTATACCAATCTTTAAGCTAAGAGATCAACCTGTTTCTGCCTCCCAAGTGTTGGGATTAAAGGCATGCAATCTTGGTAAGTTCCAGGCTAGTCAAGAATACATAGTAAGACCCTGTTTCAACAACTAGTTATCTATGGTGGTTTGAATGAGAATGGCTCCCATAGGCTCATATGGTTAGTTTGATGGTTTGATGGTTAGTCATTAGGGAGTGGAGCTCTTTGATAGGATTAGGAGATGAGGCCTTGTTGAAAGAAGTATGTCACTGAAGGAAAGGCTTTGAGGTTTCAAAGGCCCTGTGTAGCTCCCACTATCTGCCTATGGAACATAGCTCTTAGCTACTGATCCAGTGCCTGCTTGCATGCTGTCATAATCGCTGCCATGGTAATGAACTAAATCTTTGAAACTATAAGAAAGCTCCCAATTAAATGTTTTGTTTCATAAAAGTTACCCAGGTAATGGTATCTCTTCATTTAATAAGACAAGTAAGGATGTTCATCTGTTCCTACAAAAAAGAAGGCTTTTTTTCCCATAAAATTTAAGTAAAAGATGTATTTGTTGGCTCTCACTTCTGAGTTGTAGAAAATATACACAATTTACATCTAAAACAAAATACTCTTAGATTAGAAGAGATCCCTAAGGTGCTGGTGAGATGGCACAGCAGTTAAGAGCCATGAACCAGAGTTCACTTCCCAACACCTACATGGGGTGGCTAACAACTGACTCTAACTGCAGTGCCAGGGGATCCAGCACCCTCTTTTGGTCTCCTGGGACACAAGGCATGCACGTAAAGTACAGACATGCATAATGATAAGTTTACACACCCCTGTAAAACTTACTTTGGTCTCTTTTTATATGGTTGTTGAGGTGGTGTAATCGCCTTTGGCTCTGGAGAATCTGGGGGAGATGGATCTCCACCCGGTAGCTCAGGAGGAAGAGGCAAGTCTGTGAGTAAGTGGCGGGTCCTCTGCTCCTTCTCTTTCTTTGCAGGCTTTGAAGGAAGCATTTCTTTTGGACTAAATAAAGATGAAAATAAAAAGATTATCCAGAGACTATGCAAATAAAACCTTCAGAGATTATAATGCCTACCTATTAAAAAGATTACTAAAAAGTTACTTATGCGAGCTAGAGGGACGGTTCAATAGTTAAGACACTGGTGGTTCTTTTAGAGGACTGGGGCTCAATTTCAATCACACATTTGACAGCTCACAACTGTCTGTAACTCCGGTCCCAAAGAACCCCCCTCCCCCCCCCCCCCCCCCCCCCCCTTTTTGTTTTTCAAGACAGGGTTTCTCTGTGTAGCCTTGTCTGTCCTGGAGTTGTTTTGTATAGACCAGGCTGGCCTTGAACTCACAGAGATCTGCCTGCCTCTGCCTCTCAAGCGCCAGGTTTAAGGTGTGCAACCACACCTTGCTTACTTGCCCTCTTTTGACCTCTGTGGGCAACAGGCACACACAAGGTGCATGTACATAAATGTAGGCAAAACACTCATACCCATAAAATAATAAATCTAAAAAAAGGTTACAATATGAATGTACTTAATATTAGTATTGGGGGTATACTTTTAATTTAAACTTAATCTTTAAAAAATTTTTAATGTGTGTCTCTGCACTACACGCATACAATGACTGTAAAGGCCAGAAGAGGGCATCACAGCTTGGGACTGTTCTTACAGATGTGTGTGAACTGCTATGTGAGTGCTGAGACATGAACTCAGGTCCCCTAGAGGAACAATCAGTACTCTAAACCACTGAACAATCTCTCCAGCTCATCATGGTAAAATTTTTGCCTAGCAGGTGTCTGACCCTCAGTTAAATACTCAATACCTGGTGAGGAAGGGTAGAAAGGATGCAAACTTGCTAAGGTATAGTGAGGAGGATCAGGAATTACAAGAGGCCAGCCTCAACTACACAGCAAGTTTTAAAGCCAGTAACTTTATGTGATACTGTTTCAAAAATTAAAGCAATACAAAAACTCTCCTTAATGGCACATCTGAAACTCCAATTTGAGATAAAATAAAATGTACAAAGTAAGTTTAAAAAGTCATAACTTACGACTGAAGCTCATACAATTCATAAAACTTTATAACAAAAAATTTAAATGAAAAGAAGTCACTAATACTACTTAGAATACTAGAAAGATACACTCAAGAAGTGAGAGGCAGATGGATCTCTCTGAGTTCCAGACTAGCTTGGTCTACAGAGTGAGTCTAAGACAGCCAAGTATACACAGAGAAACCTTGTCTAAAAAACAAAAAAAGAAAGACTTAAAAGAACTTAGGAACAAGAAACACTATAAATCCAGTGTTTAACAGCTAAGTTCGAAATCAAAATTGAAAAAATATGTGTAAATATTTTCCCTGTTTAGGAACAGACTACAATGATCTGTGACCGACCACACAAAATGCAAACTGTCAAACTAAAAAGGTTAGAAAGTTCAAAGGGCAATTTCAGACTTATTAAAGCCTTGAATGTCTCAATAACCAGCAAATTACAGTAGTCAATATGAAAATAGAATTAGTTTTTAGAAATCAGAAAAGTAGTCAAATTTTGGTTCTTTTTACTCTTTTTTCAGTCAAGGTCTCACTATGTACTTCTGCATGGCCTGAAATTCACAGAAATCCTCCTACCCTGGCCTCTTCTTTAGTGAGAATAAACACATGTGCAATAAAGCCCCGTTAAAACCAAATTTAAAAATAGATTTATTTTAAAACGGTATGTGTGCTCCTGCACATGTCTGTATGTATGTAGTATATATGTATGTGAATATGTGCATGTGAGAGTGGACGAGCAGGCAAAGTATCAGATTCCCTGGAGCTGGAGTTAAAAGGGATTGTGATCCACTAGACATGAGTGCTAAGACTGAACTTGGGTGTTCTGCAAGAGCAGCAACCACCTCCAACTGCTGACTTCTATAGCCATCCTAAAATTTTTTTTTATTCATACGAGTACTCTGCCTGCGTATGTATGTCTGTGTAACACATCCATGCCTGTAGCCGAGGAAGTGGTAAGCCTCCATGTGAGTGCTGAGAATTAAACTTAGGTGACCTACTTCACAAGAACAAGTGCTCTTTTTAAGCACTGAGTCTACTCTCTTAAAACAAACTCAATTTTTTCCCCCCAGGAGGGAGTGATAAGATAGTATTTCTGTGTGACCTTGGCTGTCTAGGCACTCACTCAGACTGGCCTCCAACTCACAGGGATCCAACTGCCTCTGCCTTCCAAGTGCTGGAATTAATGGGGTACTCTACCACTGGCTAGCCCCTCAAATTCTTTAAAAAACATTTCTCAAACCAATTTTTTTATAACCAACAGAAGGGTTTTGTGCTGCACATGTCATCAGAAATGATAAGAATTTATATATTATTTTTTGGGGACAGGTTTTCTCTGTGCAGCCTTGGCTATCCTGGACCACTTTGTAGACTAGGCTGGCCCCAAACTCACACAGATCTGCCTGCCTCTGCCTTCTTGAGTGCTGGGATCACAGGTATGTGCCATCACAGCCAGTGATAAAGGCTTCTTATAGGCAGCAATTCACACTTACAAATTAGCCAAGGTAGTTTTTGGTATTCTCTTTCATAGTATCAGAAGATTCAAAAGTATCTAAAAATTCTAACCACTCCTACAAGGTCTCCCAACATTTGATGCCTTACAGAAATACTTCTTAGAATCTTAAGAACTGATCTATCCCTTAGAGTATTACTTTAAAGAAGACTGCTAAAGCCTGCGCTGGTACCATATGCCTTTCATCCAAGCACTCCAGAGGCAGTTGCAGATAGATCTCTGTGAGTTCAAGGCCAGCCTGGCCTACATAATGAGTTCCAAAACTATGTATAGGAAACTTGTCTCAAAACAACAACAAAGTCATAAACCCCCACAAGAACATGATTTTAAGAGGTAACGCTTCTACTAAATTTTTCCATTTTAATCCCCTCAAAATGAGACAGAGTAAGGACTCTACTCAGTTTGTACCATGTGAAGCACAACTGAGAAGTTGATGAAGTACAATAACCTTAACCTTATTTAAATACTCCTACTAAAGATCTGCACTCAGATTTTTCTACCAAAGAAGGGTTTTTTGTTTTGTTTGTTTGTTCTTAAGATAGGTATTCTCTGTGTAGACCACGCTGGCTTCGAAGTTACAGAGATCAGGCTGCCTCTGCCTAGAAAGAACTGGGATTAAAGGCGTGCACCACCACAGTCTGAACCAAAGACAGTTTATTAATGAAAACTGAGACAGAATGGGAATATAAGCCTTTAAAATTTCTTTTAAATACGCTAAGGAAAATTATAGAAATAGTCAAATATTCATTATAAATCTCAATTATCAGGAATTAAAAGAGTTTCTTCAGTTGGGCACTGGTGGTTCATGCCTTTAATGCTAGCACTCAGGAGGCAGAGACAGGAGAAGTTCTGTGAGTTGGAAGCCAGCCTGATCTACAGAGCAAGTTCCAGGACAGCCAGGGCTACACAGAGAAACCTGGTGAAGGTGAAGAAGAAGAAGAAGAAGAGGAGGAGGAGGAGGAGGAGAAAAGAAGAAGAAGAAAAGAAGAAGAAGAAGAAGAAGAAGAAGAAGAAGAAGAAGAAGAAGAAGAAGAA